TTCCTGATACAAGCCAGGATGCTGTTGGCCTTCTTGGCCACCTGGGCACACTGCTGGCTCATGTTCAGCCAGCCATCGACCAACACCCCCAGGTCCTTTTCGGCCAGGCAGCTTTCCAGCCACTCTTCCCCAAGCCTATAGCATTGCATGCGGTTTTTGTGACCCAAGCGCAGGACCCGGCACTCAGCCTTGTTGAATATACCGTTGGCCTCGGCCCATCGATCCAGCCTGTCCAGATCCCTCTGCAGGGCCATCCTACCCTCCAGCAGATCAACACTCATGCCGAACTTGGTGTCATCTGCAAGCTTACTGAGGGCGCACTCAATCCCCTCATCCAGATCATTGATAAAGATATGAAATGGAACTGGCACCAATACTGAGCCCTGGGGAACACCACTTGTGACCAGCTGCCAGCTGGGTTTAACTCCATCCACTGCAACTCTTTGGGCCCGGCCATCCAGCCAGTCTTTCACGCAGAGAAGAGTACACCCATCCAAGCCTGAGCAGCCAGTTTCTGCAGGAGAACACTGTGGGAAACAGCGTCAAAGGCTTTACTAAAGTCCAGGTAAACAACACCCACAGCCTTTTACTTATCCACTAAGTCCACTTATTAATCCACTTTGGCCTAGGCTGCTGCAGCATACAGTATTTACTGCTCCTCTTGAATATCATCTGAAAAGTATGAACTGCTCATCCTCAAAAAGGTTCAGATTTTCTGCGCCCAATTTGGTGTATGCAAGTTATCTTTAGTGAGTTATGCAGAGTTTGTCTACAATCAGAAGGAAACTGGTGCCCTGCTGAGGTTCAGTACTAAGACTTCCGAACCATTACTGAAAAAAAGGTTAATTAACAGTATAGACAAAACAAAACAGTTTCAGGACAGGTGCTGAAATGTCAATACAGCATCACTGTATTTAGCCTGTCATGCTTGTAATAGAGTCTGTTCTTACAATACTACAAAAACTAGTTTAGTATCATTTCAATTACACTTTATAGCACTGTTCTTGAATGCTGAATTCTGTGTAGCAACTCATCCTATTTTATCTTGGCCTGACACAGAAAAAAAATATTTGTGAGATGGGTGCAACTAGTAGCTGATCCTTAACCACAATGTTTCTAGTGTCTCCCTAGTGACCAAACCCTACAGTTGTTCTTGCAATAATTTTTGCTTTGAGCTACAGCTTATACATTACCAGTGGAATATTCTGCTTTAGAGATGCACCAGTTTCTGCAGGAGAACACTGTGGGAAACAGCGTCAAAGGCTTTACTAAAGTCCAGGTAAACAACACCCACAGCCTTTCACTTATCCACTAAGTCCACTTATTAATAGTCCACTAATTAATTTTTGCTTTGACCTACAGCTTATACATTACCAGTGGAATATTCTGCTTCAGAGATGCAAAGGATATTTTCTGGCAGTTGCTCTAATTTTGAAATGTTCTGGCTATACTGGTATCATTTAACCACTACAAAAGTCCTTTTATTAGCAAATATTTGGGGGTACTTTCCAATTGCAGACAGCAACTTTCACAAAAGTGCCTAGCCTGTAGAAACTCCAGCCTAGACACCCACAACGCAGCATTACCAGCACTGACTGCGAAGCCTGCTTAAAGCACACATGCTGAACTAGACAACTTTTAGCTACCACAAACAGTATTGATGCACCCTACTTACAACAACTGAAACAAATCGCAGTAATTTAAAACAGTTCAAACCCCCATTTTAGGCAAAACCACTGAAGCTTTTTATAATGATGATGGAAGCTATGTTATTTCATATGCACAAACAGTTAAATCATTTGGAACATCACCTGAGGGAGATTTGCTGCTGACAGCCGTTGTCCTCTATAGCCCAAATTTCCTAATGCAAGCAGGGTCTTGAGAGACTACTTTTCACACAGCTATTTGTCCATACTCTTGGAATATGACCTAATTGGTGGCCAGAGATTCAAAATGTCATGATGCAAGAACTATATTTCTACTTAGCTTTGTTCATTTTGTATGTTATTTTCTTTGGATTTAACTGTTCGTTAGAAGTTATTTTATTCAACATGCACTGAACACAGCTAGTAACTGAGACAAAGATATCACTGAGCATTTAACTCCTTTTACATTTAAGGGTCCCACTTCTTTCTAATATGAAAAATGAATGTGGTCTAAACTACTGTATTTTCTACTATTTCATTAGAACTCATTTTTCTGTTGTATTCAACACATGCTGCGCTGCAGTAGGAAGGTGACCGACTACTGCTTAATAATTCAATGTCAGGATGCTCTTCCCCCTTCTATTCCACTTGTGTTTCCCAAGACAAGGAATACTTTAGTACTTACAGAACCAAATGGGACTCTAGATAATTCAAAGGAATCCCTGTTGATCAAGTTCTAGCATATGCATGTACACATAGGAGTACAAGGTCTACAAAAGCACCAGAAACAGACAGATTAATTCAACTACAATATGCAGTTAAAAGTTTTCAGTAACCACAGTGTTACTCTACCAGCTTTGTAAACATCAACTCACAGAAGAGTTAAGTTTCAAAATAAGTCACAAGAGGAGTAATGCAAACTAGGATAACCACATCCCATTTTCTGCCTGTTCTTGCTGCTTCGTTCTGATATGCACGTAAAAACCACCCAGAAGGCGATGCCAGGCTTTAAAAAAAAAAAAAAAAAAAAAAGCCAACAAATCCATCCAAATAGGATTTTACAATTTCTAACAATAAGATGCATATACCTGGCAGTAACACAAGAGGACGGGTCTTTTCTAATTATAAGTTAAGCATCAACTTCTGGAATAGTTTAATTACAACTTGCATGGAAATAATAGTTTTATTAAGCTTAGCAACATTATTTAAGAAACAGGAAGTTCATGTGATGTGTTAAATTAGTTTTAATAGGTTATAATTAATCCTACTTAAAATTAGGAAATATACCGCAACAACCTAAAAGAAGTTCATACAGTAGTCTACTTTTCCATGAGCTTTAACAGGTGTCTAGAGAACTTCTAATCCTGAAAAGCTGAAAACCACATCAAACCTCTTTGTAAAGATCTTCCTTGCTAATGGGATGTAAATGTTTGCCCATTAATGGAACACCAATTATTGGATATTTTATGTCATTATGGAAACTTCTCCAAAACCTCAGTTAAATCTACAAATTAAAATTTAAAAATAATATTCTAATTTTCTATCATTTTTGTTTCATTCAGGCCCTACAATAATCTGGAAAAAAAAAGATTCATGCATCTAGAATGTGCATCTACATGCAGAATATTGTAGGAAAATACTATTCAGTCTGACATTTAACCTAATACTTGAAAGAACTGAGGATAAAATAATCATTTAGATACATTATATGTATCAAAATTAAACAAAATTATTCAATGGCTGCTACTATGAGATCTCAAAAAAAACCCCCAGCAACTATGATATGAGAGTCTTCAACCTGATGAGAACATATAATGACATTAGAAATAACCACATCACTTACAATTCATTTACAGTAAGAGAACAGAACAGTTGTACTTCAAATCAGTATCACTTTCAGTCAACTGGAAGTATAAACTCTCATAGCTAAACAGGCTAATGTACAACTCTAACTTAGGATAATGTACATTTAAATACAAAATGGAAGACAGAAGAGTATTTATTTTGTGGGTCTGTCTTTGCACTGTAGTCTCTTTCAGATCTGTGTATCTACCACTCGAGGTCACAATAGAGAAATGTGATACTGTAAATTCAGGCAAAATAAAAACTCTATTTAGATGGGTTTTTTTAATATTAAAGAACAGTGCTACAATAAGCAAGCGCAATTCAAGTAGGTCTACTGACTTGGTCAATGTTATTTACATAGTGACTCATGAACTCTTGTACATTAAATAAATTTCCTGAATCCAAAGTTATGCAACTAGATTAGTAAGATAATCATGTTTGCTAGAATACAGGATTAATTTTTTCCCTAATTTTTAAACCTAAAATTATACTACCTTTTAAATTCAGAAAAGTTTACAGAACTGATTTTTTCTACCTGTGAGTAGATTATTATTGCTACATCTATATTACAAAGCATGAGAAAAAAAGTCCCTAAAGAGTTGTTAAAGTAGGTGCGTTTTTTTCCAATAGCCTGTTAAACTTCAGCTGTCTCAACTTGTAGTTACGATTACAAATGTTCAATTTACAAATACAAATTCCAAATATTTCTTAAGTAGTTAATACAGCTTCAGGGACACAAGAAAGTACATACAATACAAACTGTCTGGTATATATGATGGGAATTTTTTTTCCCTGAAGATTCAAAATTGATATGAAACCCAATGAAAAGCATGCTTCTGCTGTGACGCATTGCCCCCAGAAGTCTTACAAAAATTATACTATTGAATAATGTAAACATAAGTGTCAGGTTGCATCTAGAGTAACAGACCACACATTATGGAAGAACTTACAAGAAAAGATTGCCAAATTTCTGATCTGCTACTGATTAGCAGAAGAATGTTATGCATTTGTTCCTAGTTGTAATCTAACCTTCATGCATATTCAAAAGCTAGCGTATATATGCATAGTAACAATAATCCTGCATGATGCTTCTTTACACAGTTTCTTTAGTAATATGGGTCCTAATGAAGATAATTTCAGGAAGCCAGCAAATTCTGTATAATTTCACTACACAGAAAGTATACCCAGATTTCAAAGAGAACAAAATTTGTTATAAATTACAGTTCATACTGGTCCTTAGCCACAAGATAATAAACAAGGTATTCATCATTTTATATTGCTTAACACTTTGAATGACATATTTCCTTCACATACTTATGTTTTACTAATGTTCCCCTTTTAAAAATGTATGAAGCATTGTTGCTTTGTAGTTCACATTTATACGGCTTTCCTAGAAAAACACAGAATACCATACTGAATGCCTATTGTGCATGAATAACCCTGAAGGCTGTATCATAGCAGTATGCAGTAGAAAACCCTTACCAATTTTTCATCAACTGTGATGAGTTGCGTGTCTCGAGTTTGGTCCTGTGCCAGCCGCCATGTGGAAGTGCTCAGTGACCTGCGGTGCAAGACTTGAAGTTAAAAAATGATTCATGCAATGAGAAAATAGAGGCAGACAAATCTTACATAAACAAGTTACTTTAACAATATCCGTCTTGTAAAAAAAATTGAAGAGGGAGAGATGAGGGCACAAAAATCCTTTTTCTCCCCAATTAGTTCTGTCTGCTGAGTTTTTGGCAGACTCCCACTTAGCAGTTCACAACAGGCTGCACTTTATGTCAGCCTACAGGCTCTCTGTCACAGAGAGACTGCCAGTGGCAAGGACTGTACTGCTCTATATGAATGTACAGTAGCTGGTTTGTCACGAACAGACAGAAAAATACAAGGCTGCTGCAAGCATTCTGGAACTCTGATCCTTAAAATGATGGCATCAGAGGAAAAAAATCCTAAATCTATTTGTAATGGTAAAGCTCCAGTTTTACAGTTTAACAACAGAGCATAAACAAATTAAAAAAACAAACAACAAAAAAACAGCAAAACAAACCCTAAGTTGATAATTTCAACAAAATTTTCTGGTTTTGAATGAGCAAAGCTCACAACTGTTTTGTTTCATTTCTAAATCAGTATGGGTCAGCTTAGTAATTTCCAAGAAATATGATTAATCTTCTTGCATAATTACTAAACCTGTAAGGTATGTAAGGTAAAGATGGAAACACAGAACCCAATTCCACATCACTGAATTCAGAAGTAAAATTTGCCCTTAATTTGCATTATGTCACTAATGTCAGGATTGGGCCCTTTAAGTACAAATCATCTTTTGGCAAAACAATGCAACAGCAAGCCAAAAAGCCCAATTCTCTGAGCTAATAATGTGCTTCAGATTTAATTAAGGTCATTTTAAACAAATGAGGCACAAAAATGCAAGAATATAGATAACTGAACAGTAAGATGGACTAAGCCACTCTCGTTTCAACAGTTCTTCAGAAGATTACCTAATTTGGGAAGCCAGACATGCCTGCAGATGCAAATGAACTTTGAGATTTTGCCTATGGGATACTTAAAACCATTCTTCTAGTAATTTAACACTATTGGTAATGTTTACCTAATTTTTGAGGAAAACACCCACAAGTGCCTTTAAAACACCACAGCTTTTAAAACCAAATTCCAAGACTTTCAGAAACTCTGCGATACTACCCAAACTTACCCCTCCCCACATAAACTAAAATAGTCAATAACATGAAAGGTGTCTCAGCAGCAGATAACTTGCACACAATCATTCGAAACCTGTAGAATTGAAAGAGCGCATCTTCTACTGCATTCTATTAAGCCATGGAAACATGGAAGACCTAACTAGGGGAACAGTCTCCACAACGCATGCATCTAACACATCTCCTAATCTCAACTCCCTTCCTAATTTTAATCGATTCTGGTGAGAATACATTTGAAGATATGAACTTGACCATTTAATTAATCTAGTGTCACATTAACTAAACAAGCATTCAATTTTCAGGCAATATTAGCATGGTAAAGTTTTTAGGAGGTAAAACCTACACTAGAAAGGAATTTGAAATTAGTGACTATAAAGAAAGCCACAAGAATCTTATAAAACTAAACAACTGGAACAAAGTTCAGTTCAGTAGTATTTCAAATGGAGATTCCCACAATCTGTACTTCTAATGCAGATTACATTCTCCTAAATTACCTTCCATTTGCCAATAACAACCTCAAAAAATCTCCACGTCATGAAGAACAAACTCAAAGCACAAAGTATATAGAATCACCCAACTCTGTGACATGAACAGACGCATCTATTCCTATTCAAACTGACAAAATCTGTCTGGAAGGGTACTTTGAAGAACAGGATGAAGTTTTTTAAGTGCAAGGGAGCACAAGAATTTCATAAACATCAAAATCTAACTACTCCGTAAGACAAAAATCTCTGTCCCAGAGAGCTTCTGGCTCAATACAGCTGTCATTTTCTTAATTTGTACACATAAAACAATACATCATAAAAAGAGAACAGACAGATACTGCAGTATGCTATAAGAAATGGCTTTTATTCAAACCTTATTCAAAAACACACCAAGAGAGAAGTTATCCTAAAAGCCTTCAGAGTAGCAGCATTACACTTGAGTTCCAGTGGTAAAGTAGTTGAAGCCACAAAATTTCCAACCTTAAGCAAGGCAAAAACATTGTAATAGGAAAATTAGTTTATTCCCCCACTCCAGGAATTTTAGTATCAAAGTGGTATTCTGCAGGTATTCTAGAACTTCATGGGATACAGTGCTCACTACACGACTTAATATATGACCAAAGAAGGACATTGGACTATGCAATCAAATCGGTCCTTTCTGGTAGGAAATAATCTAAACTATGAATCAAGAAGGTCTCTGAACCTTGCCCTGTGAAGAGGTCTGATGAATATGTAAAGGTTTGAGAATGCCAGGATTTAAATAATAAGGCTGATCAGAATCATGCTTTTTCTTATAATATAAATGCGATTTGGAACAAAATTTAGCACAATTCAGTTTTAATTAGTTTTTCTTTTTTTTTTTTTAATTAATTTGGAAAAGCATTAATCAGCTTTGAAAAGTATAAATGCCATGCCCTTCCAAAATGATTTCCACTCAGCATTATGTCATTGGACATTGTTTTTACTCAGATGATTGCTCATTTTGGAAATTTCTGTATTTGCAGAAAAAAAATTAAAGATATTTCATACCATTATAGTTAGCAGGGAAGAGAAGGGTAAAAATCCCACCAGATTAAAGGTGGGCAGAATATCTCTCCAAGATGCTTCTACACGGCATACAGGGGGAGCTGATTTTTTTGCACAAGATGTCTCTGTCAACTGGGATAAATTGCAAGGCGTCACATCTTACAGCTCTCCATGATGTTTTAGCTCTTCTTCTACAAAACAGACAGACGGTTTACTAACCTAAATCAACTTCTGCTTCTCTTCATCATTTTTCAAAGCCATTTCTCTTGACTACACCACTCTGGAAAAAGCCCAGCTGTTACTGGAATTTGCAGCCTTGTACATTTCTTAAATGCCCAGCCTTCTGTCCATCCCTGGATTGCAATGAGTTGGAAAGAACACACTTTCCTTAAGAACTTCCTATTTGAAGAGTGGTTGAAAACCAGCATTTGGACTAGACTAGGAATGTGAACTGTAAGTCCATGGAGGTGTATCTGTGTAAAAATACATAAAACACTAGTTTTGCTTTAAAGATGACAGGCTGTTGATTTTTCCATTTGTTGCATCTCTCATAGGAATGTAACCCAGAGCTTAGAAATACTAGCAACTCTGAAATATCATATGATCTGAAATACTACTATTTAAAAGTTAATAGCAAGTGTTACTTGATTCCCAGAGCACTTGTTTAATTTTCAACAGGTTTCACTGCAAGTTTGTCCCTAATGTCAGGCACTTAATTGAGAAGATAACCAGGGAACAGACCTCTTTCACACAATCCTCTCTTTTCAAACTCCCACAACGATAAGTATCATTTCATCACTCAAGTTTCCCCTTAGAAATTCTATAAACTTTACAACATTTGTTTTACCTTCAAATTAAATGAATATGCAATCTAAATCACTTAAGTGACAACTCAATTTAAACCTTTTATTCTGTCCTCAACAGTAAAGCAATTCTCACAAAATTCCCAATTAATACTTGCTTCTGCCCACATCAACCTTGGCCTTTAGATATCTTTTGTGACAGACAAACTTGCAGAGTATAAAACATACTTTTTACAGTTCCATTCTCACAAAGTTGTCCTCCTTTCTTCTACTACTGACCTCCAGAAAGGTAATCTGCTTTCTTCCTTTCTCTTTGCAAGCAATATGGGTCCACTTTATCCCATTTTGCCTCTTTTAGACTGTTTATGCACTTTTTTTCCTGTCGAAACATCTTGGGATGAGGCCTTAAGAGCAGGAAGTTCCATTTCTTACTCTGTTCCAAGACTAATCAAACTCCGATTTAAAATTACTGTACACAGAATACTTTAAATAATAATAAATAGGCCACCAATATAATTCTAAAGTTCAAAAACTATACAGAAAATTTTACATGTAATAGCTAGCAACAATAAACCCTGCTATCTTCTAGGCTCATTAACGTGCCATTCAAAACACAGATCAGACAAACTTTCTTCACAGTTACCATCTAATAACCAAAGTGTGACTCCCAGCTGGCCACAGCTCCGTTGGGGATCTGCCCAAACATTTTCCTTATAGTGAGCTCCCTAGTGATGAACAAACAAGCTTTTAAATGTGAAAGCCTGGGTTTATTAGAATATTTAGCCTTTTAAAACAAAAACCCTTCAAAACTACATGCACAAAAGTAAAATTAAGGTTTATAAAAAAAGTCACCCATGTCCCTTATGATCTTGCAGATACTTTCCCGCATTAATGTACATAGCTAATCCAATCTGCAGCTTCTTGGATTATAACCAACCCTTCACAAGGTCTTCTAGTCCCTAAAAAGTTTTTCTTTCATCAAGGAGACCTGGATGTATGGACGGTGAAGATGCCACAGTTAGTCCACAGGGACTCAGACAGCAAAATTCTCCTCTTGCTCAAGTTTGTCGTTCTGGGCCTCAGATGCATCTGGTGTCACACTCCTCCTGCCCAAGTATAGTCCCTCTCTCAAATCTCCTAGTCACTCTTTTACTAGAAGATTCCTCCTTTGTTCCCTCCATATTAGTCTGTCTACACAAATATGGAGGTGTCTTTGTGCTTCCACAAACATGGATAAGTTGGCGTGAATGTACAGCAGCTCCTTTGGCTACAGAGACCACCACTCAAATTGTCATGTGGTTTGCAATTATGAAAGTGGTATTTTCTCCCTACCCAGTGCCATTGTGTTGGGCATTTAAATTCCTTAAACTTGATCTATATGATCCTGTATCATCATTTTACAGTATTATCATTTAATAATTTCAATAATTTATTATAATTTAATTATACTCATTTCTACAGTTCACTTGAAATGTAATTTTGTATAACACAATTTTGTCTTTACCATCAATCTGATCATGGTCCAGCTTCAGCATGAACTCTGCTTTAATATCTGCTATAAAACAATACACTTTCATGACATTTCTGGGTTTCATCGTTAGGAATTTAAAAAGGTTATGGTAACTTTTTCTTCCACAGTGCATAGTTCTTTAGAGAGGCATTATAGACCTGAACATTGCATCTAGACTGGGTTATGGCTACAATTTGTTATTTTAGAATCTCACAGTAAATCTAAATGTCTTTTATAGAGAGACAACAATAGAAATTTTGCAAAGACTACACTACATGGTCTTCTTATTAAATTCTTGTAAAAATACTCTTACATTAGCTCAGTAACATGGAATGAATTAAAGATGACTACTAGTGAAAATGTGGATTTGCAGTGTTCAAAAATTTCTATAGGTATTGCATATTCTGGGAAAACAAATGCTGTGATCATCTAACCATGTCTTCCACGAGAGGCGTGTACTGCCCTTCCACCATCATCTGCTGTTCCAGCAAAGTCACAAATGGATTCCACACCTCTGCTACGCAAATGGAGGCGTCCACTGAGAAGCCACTGGAAGTTCTCCAGTCTTCACTACAATATTAACACTGGTCTCAGGTCTCTCAACCATCTTATCCCACCGTGTGGTAAACACATAGCAGAGTTTCTTGTTTCAGGGGGCATACTTGTGTCTCCTCTTCCCTTCTTATACTAGAGGCTGCAGCTCTGTTGATGCCATTAACCAGGTCTGTTGAACTGGAGAAACCAAACAGTAAAAGAATGGACAGCAAAAGTTTTTTGTGATATCAGGATGAAGGATATTAAGACATCTGACTCGAATGTTTCTCTTGGTAGTTTTGGATATCTGTATTCAATCTCTAAAATTCAACAAATCTGAACTTCTTAAATTGCTGCTAAATAACCTATGCTTAACCACTATATGCTTTTGGTTTTTAACTGCACGAACAGAAAAATAAATAGAAGTCTTACAGAAGAGAATGCCTGCCACAGAGCCTCTGGAAATGTCATGAAGAATCCCCCACAAGCCCAGTGGAAGGTGAGAAGCAGCCATATTTACAAGGCATGAATTTGCCTTCCACAAAGAGCAATGCTTTGGCCAGCATGTTACACAACACCCAGATGAGAAAACTTCTGTTTACTGGATTTAATTCAATAGCTGAGATTTAATTCATTGCACAAAAAAAGGCTCCTTAACCTCTTTATGCAACACATCTGACTGTTTGATCTATTAGCACCCCCTTTTGGTCAACTGTTGGAGATATGTTAAAGAAAACCTGGTATCACACCACAGGTAATCAGATCACAACATAGAGATGAAACAAAGTCTTGAAGAAAACCTCATGTGCTGCATGAAAAATGAAGGCAGTCATTATAAAATAAGTCTAAATGGCATTTTAAGTATTCTGACACTGAATGACCAGGGCACCTGTAGGTGTGAATATACATATACACAGAAGCAGAAGCTGTGATGAACCGTTCACTACATTGAACAGATAATCACTCTTAGAAAACCAACCTTTTTTAATATTATGGCATTTATCAGGAATAACATAAGCTTCACAGAGTGCAGCCACCATAAAGACATTAAATTCTGAACAAAAAGAACATGGAAACACTGCCAGCTCAGAACTTCCACGGCATCCAACCTAGTCACACACTGCAATTAAGCAGACTAAAAACAAATCAGTATAATGTTCTCTCATGTAAAATACAGACATTAAAGATTGCCTGTTATATGATCTCAGATACAGTACAAATCACAGGATTCAGCCCCAATATAACATATTTTTATAAAGACAGCTTGTAAAGTTGAACTGGTGAGACATGAACTTAAATAGAGTGGGATAATACTTCCTTGGTATTTGATTCACTATTGTAATTACAGTGATAAAGACTTAACAGAGTCAATGATGTTTTATTTTTACCAGGATACATCTACTATTCTTATTACATCCCAGCATAAACAAAGTATGGAATATAAAGCCAAACACTGCCTGTGGAGCCCATGTAGTTCTATTTTGTAGTATGAACTGCATGAGTAACTTTTGGGGTTGGAGGAAAAGCAAATTCCCCATTTATAAATAGTTACATTCTCAGACAATATTGGCACATCAGAATTTTTTCTTTGCCTACAAAATGACGTTAAATTATAAACACAGTAAACTATATTTCTGAATGGATGAAAGGAATACCAATTTATTTAATCTAAACTGCTGAAACTTCAGTATTAAGTGGTAAAAAGATCAAAATTGAAATAGAAATATATAAACACTGCTTCTATTTGCTAAAAAGTTCATATGCAAAAAGAATATATATATTTTCCAGGTGTGCGTTTGGAAAACAGGGCTGGAACTGATTGTGCTTTTCTGTTAGGGAAATCTGCATTATGAAAAGAAGCAATGGTCATATAAATGTACTGAATAAACATGAAAATAACTTTAAGCATTTGACTTGTGGCTTGTAACTTAGCGTGCATCTTCAAAGCTAAATGTTAAGTTCACCTGCCTTTAGAACTATTAAATGAGTTAAATTTTCAAGTTGTAAAGACTTTAGTAAGTAGAAAACAATCAAATTTTAGTTATTTTAGGTTTTATTTTAATTACCCCACAGATAGGAAAATGCTATTGACATACCACAGACAACCAAAGTATGAGGTGAACAACAGCACTACACAAACACAGCCATAGTCCTTCCAGAACTACCGTAGGACCAGAGCACTATAGGCACTCCTGGCATTCCAGGTTCAGTCCCCAGGATGAAAGTCAGCTCTGTTAAGACACGGCTTGAGTTGCCTACCATCAGTTTCCCTCATTTAAACAGCTTTCTCGGGGTCAACAAGAAATGAGCAAGTTTAGCTCTTACTGCGAAGCCTGCACCGCCCGTCTCACACAGGGCCCATTTGAGCTGCTCTCTAGCCAGCTAATTTTGCTGACACCACTGCGCACGTAACAAAGACCAGCACAACCCTTCAGAAGGCTCTGCAACAGCCAGACAGTAAGCACAGGCAGGCTCAACCTGCTCCTGCAGAGCTACACAGTTGTCTCCACCATGTTTTTGACAGCTGAGCCTTGTAGGATTATTAATTAGGTGGGTACCTGCAGGGCACAAGCATACACACAATAAAAACAGCTTCAGCTGAGGAAGAGTTCAGGAAAAAATCAACAAGAGCTAGCTTGGGTTCAAGTCAGCACACCAGCAAGCGAGGGCTGACATCCTGAAACAGTTCTCTGCATGTCCCAGTCTGCTATCAGACTGTTTCTTGACGTGCTTGGACATAAACACAGTCATTGTTTGCCACTAAACTTCTGAACTGGCTGGGGGGCCGAGCCCAGAGAGTAGCTGTAAATGG